AATTTGGTGAGTAGCACTTGAGGTCTTAAAAGCTTGCAAGCAACCATCTAAGATACAACTATTGGTCTCTTTCCATCTGGAGCAAAGGAGAGTGAAGGAAACCAAAGACACAAAGAAGCAATTAATCCACAGGACTAATGGCCCACACAAACCCCAGCGTCCTCTAGCCAGAGACCAGAAGAACTAGATGGTGTCTGGCTCTAACTACCAACTGCTCTGACCAGGGACACAGTAGAAGGTCCTGGTTAGAATGGGAGAAAAATGTAGAATAAAACTCAAATTAATAAAAAAGACCAGACTTACTAGACTGAGAGAGTCTGGAGGAACCCCTGAGAGTATCACCCTAAGACACTCTTTTAACCTGGAACTGAAGCCACTCCCAGAGGTCACCTTTCAGCCAAATAATAGACTGGCCTAACATAAACAATAACACCCGTGGGAAATGTGCTCCTTAGAACAGTCAACTATAGGAAACCAAATGGGCAACATTTGCCCAGAAGCAAAGATGAGAAGGCAAGGAGGGGGTAGGGAAACTGGAGGGATGTAAACCGGGAATGCAGGGTGGAAATGAGGAGGGTGCTGACACATTGCGGGGATAGCAACTGATGTCACGGAACATTTTGTGTATGAATTGTTGAATGGGAAGCTACTTTGTTGTGTAAACTTTCACCTAAAACACAATAATGTTCCAAAAAAAGATATTAATAGGGAATTCCATTAAGTAGGGTCCTCTGGTCAAACAAATTTGGGAAATGCTGCATGCCTGTTCCTGCGTTAAAGATTCACAATCATAAGAGCACTAAGAGTTTATTGAAGTCCTCTAGGAAAGAAATCTATTTTCTTTCTTTTTTTAAACTTTCATTAACCCAGTGTTTCCTAAGCTTATTTGACCAATGACTTTTTGTTTGCACCATCAATTACCATTTTATGAAGCTGTCTGTAGGACAGTATTGGGAAACAGAGCTTTAGAATCATCCCAGCCAAGCAGAGCTACTTACCCTCAAACACCTCCAAAAGCTTAAGTCTAAAATATGCTCTAGATGAAATAGTTTGAACAAAATCGTGTTTATGAAATAGACTTGAAAATGTTTCCTACACTGATTTCAGGATTCCAGAGTAACTTTGTTCTGTTGGTTCCTTCTATCAGTTTTAAAGCTCATGTTGCACCCGCTCCCTGCTTTATTAATGTCAAGTACTAGCCTTCAGCCAAGATCAGCACAGGTCTGTCCTGAGTCTGGATGGTGTTTTCTGCTCACGTTGTTTCCCAGGAACAGGGACTGGGGTCCTTCAAGAGAGCTAACTGTTCTGTAGAGTGTTGAGGCAAGAAACTGGACTGCAGGCTGTTAGTCATTGAAAATGATTTTCAACGGGGGCTACTTTCAGCTAATGTCAGCTATTGGATTATCCCCTGACCAGGTGAATAAACAAACATGAGGGCAAGTTTTAATGGGGCAAGAGGTGTGGAACCTAGGGGTATCCTAGCTTCTGAGTGAAGTGCATGCCAGAGCAATGGAAAGTGAGCGCCAAAGATAACCATCACTGTTTGGACGCTCTTAACGGGTCCAGGACAAGGAACTTCAAGGGTTTAACCTAGTACTTACGATTACTCTAATATAGCAAAAAGTTTGTCCCAAGAGAAGTATGTGGCATACTACCCAGGCCTGTGGCATAGGCCTTTTGCATCACATACATGTAATGATCTCCGGAAACCAAACAGTGGTGGCTTCTGCAGTGTGCATTATTGAGGGAAAAGCATTAGATTTTTTTTCCCCCCACAGACTTGGGGTGGGGAGATAGCTAACAGACTTGGCTGCAAACTCTGAACCTCTGAGAAAGAAGCCAAGTGTGATACAGGTCCCTCTCCCATTTTTTGGCCGTCAGTGTAATTTTCCTAAGATGGCATGCAACATTCTGGTGCGTGGTTTGAACCATACTGGGGCAAGGATGGTTAGAGATTACAGGGCCCAGCAGAGAAGCCAGCCAAGCTGACTTTCCCTGACACTTGACCAGACTGATGGCCGGAAGTCCAAGGATGGGGTGCAGTGTCTCGTTTCTTTCGGGGACTTGTAACAGCACCTCCTGAGGCTCTGATGTGGGCCTTGTTACCTAGAACTTCTGGTTCTCTCAGAGAGGCTGTTCTCAGGCCCCTTCTCTTTGGAAGCAGCTGCTCCAGACCTGCTAAGTCAACCTTCGTTTCCTGTTGCTTATGAGACCTCTAGTGGCTGTAACCAGTAAAACTTGCTCCATGTGGAATAATAAGAAATAAGCAGGAAATACTTCAGTGTTTAGTGACTGACCACTTCTCTTTTCAGTATACATCCCGTCAAGTAATTTAGCCATAATGAACGCTGAGTTTGGGTTCTAGAATGTTACTAGCTAACATAACTGGGAATTTAGTGTCTATTTCTAGTACTAGAAGAATTGTAAAATTTTATGCGAAATACCCATGATTTGTTAATTCTCACTTATGGTCAAATTATTCTTTGAGATTATAAATAAATAAAAGCTCGATTCATTGGACATTATTTTTCTCAATATTAACCTTATAAATATTGACTTGGTCCTTATAACAACTGTATGAGGTGGGTACCACTGTTACCATACCCATTTTACAGATGAGGAACTTGAGATACAAAAACAGTAAGCTACTTGCCCCAAGTTATTTGGCTGCAAAGTAGTGGATTGAAACCCAAGCAGGGAGGCTCCAGAACTTGCATGCTCACCACTACGCTACACTGTTTCTCAAGTCTTCATTTAAAAAGGCAGCAGGAATTTTTAGAGACACATACTAAGTATGTACGGGTGAAATGACCTGAAATCTGGGATTGTACTAAAATAATCAGGCTGGCAGGCAGGCAGGTTAGATGAAGCAAGTGTGGAAAACTCTTGATAAATGTTTAATTTTGGGTGATGGATATATAACGGTTATAGCATTCTCTAATCTATAATAAAAAATAGAAACCATTTCTGGTGAATTTAGGGATTTTGAAATATTTATCTTACTGTTAAAATCAAAAGAATTTTTTTTTAATTTTCTGGGTAATTCGGGTCAAAGCAGAGAGTTTTACTAAATTATTAATATAATTGTGGTTGTGCAAATGAAGTGCCCTTTTCTGTATGTTCAAAATCACTTCCCATATGATCCCCCAATTTGATAGACATATGCTTTTTTTTTTTTTTATTAAGAAGGGTTGATCTCATCAAATATATTTGATAAGAATAGGAAAATGTTTGAGTTACAAGGGACCTCAAAGACATCCTCTTCCAAAATGATCACTTTATGGCTAGAGAAGTTGAAGCTTAGAGAACTTAAGTGGTCTGTGCAACATTAAAGGGGGAACCTCAAGTGATTGTGTATAGTCAACTGCACAGCTAGTTAGAGGAAGAGTGGGAATTAAAACCTGGGTTTCCTGACGCCTAGACCTTTCCAGCTCGCATCAGAAGGAGCCTGTGCGCAGTAAAAGGCTTACAGCAACCCACACAGAAACACTGACCCATGCTCTACTTGGAATTCCACCTACACCAGGGAGTGGCCAAGTCAGAAGTTTGGCAGTGGTCAAATGGCTTTTTAACCTCTCTTGGTGGTTGCAAACGTTTAGACTTGAATGGCCCCGTGCGTTTTGTGTGTTTTCTCCACATTCCTTGTTTACAGACCATAGCTGTGTCACCTACAAAGAACATAGTTAGAAAAGTTAAGATTTTTTGCACCTGAAGAGATACTTAAAGTTGCATTTGAGGCTCTGTTGCAATAAAGCCCACCCCTTCATGAGCTAGAAACCGGGGCCAGGTGTTCCCCAAGAGGGAGGAATGCAGATGGTCATAGTGAAAGTTTCTTGGTGCCTAGAGTCACTATCCGTCGAGCCCACTGGTCTTCGACTCATGGCAACCATGTGCACAACAGAATGAAACCCTGCCCGGTCCTGTGCCTTCCCTGTGATCAGTTGCAGTCGTGATCCGTAGGGTTTCCATTGACTGATTTTTTTTGGAAGTAGATCACCAGGTCTTTCTTTCTAGGCTGTCTTAGTCTGGAAGCTCTGCTGAAACTGTTCAGCATCATAGCAACATGCAAGCCTCCACTGACAGATGAGTGGTGGCTGCACATGCGGTGAATTGGTCGGGAATTGAACCTGGGTCTTCTGCATGGAAGGCAAGAATTCTACTACTGAACCACTATCGTCCCCACCAGCGTCACTATACTATACCCCTGCGTCATTAACTATTAGCCTACTCTCCTCATGCTGAGAATTCTTGGAGGGCGTTTCAAGAACTAACTTCTCACCATCTCCAAGTCCAGTGCACACCTTTTCTACAACACCAAAGCTGCCTTTGTTGGCGTTCATTCCTTAGGGTCTGGGTGTCTCAAAGCCAAATGCTTTCAGGACCCTGGCAGGTAAGGTAAATTAATGTAAGACTAGGGTGACCTGGGGAGAACAAGCCTAGTTCTCATTTCAAGGTTTTACAAGACTGTGCTGTCCATGCAAAAAACTGGGCAGGTCAGCTGACAATTGGTTACCTCTGATACAGAGGAAAGAACCTGGGGATAAAACCAGGAGACCTGGATACCATCGCTGGCTCCCAGTGACTTCAGCACAGCCTTGCCTTTGCAGAGCCTCAGGTTTCCTGACCTGTAAGAAGTGGGTCTCTAAGGCTCAAAGTTGCCGCCACCTCTGATTGTCTATTCCTGTGATCTGTGATAGAATACATGTCTCAAAACAACTGTTCCCAGTGTCTGCTTTGTCTATCTGACATATGCTTGCAAAGTACCTGACAGGCCTCATTGATCTAATTCACTTTTTAGAACTGATTTCCTTGAGGTCTTTGTTGGATGAGTTTATGACGTTATCCTTACGTGCTTTGATCCTTGTGTTAAAATAATCTGTACTTAACCGTCATTCTGTTACCACTCTATGCCAGAGGTTGCTTTTGCCAGTTTCTCTTCTTTCTGAAAGCAGTCATGAGCAGACAAGCTTAGAAAGGGTGTTCTCTTCGTGTTGTTTCAGGGAAAATAGAGAAAGTCAAACCTCCTCCATCCCCCACAACCGAAGGCCCCAGCTTGCAGCCTGACTTAGCCCCCGAAGAGGCTGCCGGATCCCAACGGCCCAAGAATCTGATGCAGACCCTCATGGAAGACTATGAGACACATAAATCTAAAAGGCGCGAGAGAATGGATGATAGTAGTGTAAGTTTTTCCTTTCCTCTTTCACTTCTCCAAGGGCAGACATCAGCCTGGTGTATGGTATACCAGTTCAGGACGGATCTGTAAGAGGTTGTCTGGCCAGCATCATGGTTCCAAAACCATTTTTCACATGTGTGGTTTAACATGCCTGGATTGGGATTTGGGTTTTTGCCTCATTTCCCAAAAATGTTGATCATGTGCGGAGCAGACCCTTTGGCTGCCAAGTGTAGTTTCAGCCTATTGGCAAGACTAATGCATGAACTGTTTGGTGTGTAGAAAGACAATGTGCAAAGGCAACACGGGGAAGAAGGACATGAGCAAATCCTCACCAGGGAACAGGGAACTGGGTTCTACTGTCTCAGCCTGCTCTGTAGAGATTTTATTTCTCTAGGAAAACTGTGAAGATGCTCTTCTTTCAAGGTCTACTCTGTTGACAATCCTTATAAATGTTACAAAAAAACAAGTGTGTCGGGGGTGTAACCAAGCCTATGTGTAAGGTTTGGTAGGAAAGAGCCATTTAAAATCGCAGTTAAAAACCACATGGCTACCCTGCTATCCCCAGCCCCAAGAACTTCGCACAAGATGTTTGTAAAGGAAACCAACCATCTGCTCTGTGTTTTCTTTCTTCAGCAAGAGTCTTCTGAGCTGTTATTCCATACTGCCTCCATAGTCAGGAGCCTGGAGGTCAGCCTTGGTGTTTTGTGCCAACCTCCTAGGAGTCTGCTGGCATCGGTCTCTTAGGGTCTTGGGGTTTAGGTTTTTACCCCATTTCCCAAAAATGTTGAGCATGTACAGAGTATACCCTTTAGTAATTGCCCCCTCCTCCCAATTATACTTAGGGCACAAATAGCTTGAGTTGGTTGAGGATACTACCCAGGTGACCTGGGAGAGTCCTGGTTTATGCCCGTTGTCCTACTGTAATTATTAATAGCATCTCCTTTCACTCTGAAGTGTCCCAGTTTGGATGATAAATCACCTTAAGCTTGAATGCTGCAGGGCCCACCGTGAGAATTCCATTCTTACTTACTGCATTTCATATCCTGATTGGCTAAGTTAAAGGATTTCTGGAGTTGAGGCCAGATACAGAAAGTTGCTTTCAAAGTATGTGGTATTAAAGAAAGGCTTTCCCATGTGTTTCCACCCGAAAGGCTGGAGTGTTTCCGGGCTGTACCTCGGCATGGACCCTCCTGCATTGCAACAGTGGGATGGGGACTGGCCCTGGGAGGCTGCTGCAGACATTTCTATTCCTGGGCTTCAATGCGAGGTGCCAGCCACTCCTTCACTGAGCCAGTTGTACTTTTCCTGTTCTCTAAGTCACTTTATAAAGAGCCCCAGTGGCGCAGTGGTTAAGCTGTTAACTGGAAGGTCATCAGTTCAAACCCACTAGCTGCTCTATGGGGGAAAGATGTGGCAATCTGCTTCCTTAAAGATTACAGCCTTGGAAACCCTATGGGACAGTTCTACTCTGTGGTCACTGTGAATCTGGAATTGACAGCAACAGTTTTTTGGTTTGTTTGGTTTGGTTTTAAGTCACTTTTGCTAGCTCTTCTTTGCAGTCCCCGTAAAGCTATGGAGTTCACCAGTAGGTGTTTTGCGGAGCCTATAGCCATTTTGAAGTTTACTGCTAGAAGCTTCGTGTTTCTTTTCTCCCTAGTAGCAGTTTTGGTGGAAGTTAGACAAGTGGACCCCTCTCATTCTGGTGTGGATGGGCAAGAACAAAGGGAACCACTTTGCATGCGATCCACCCAAGTGTTTTCTAAGCACTGTCTATGTATCTCTTGTGTGTGCCTTTTGTCTTGGAGTGCAGATGTTAGAAAAAAGTACTACACATGGGGAAGAAACAACTGTCGCTCATTTCATACAGGCAGAGAGCTGGCAGCCTCCTTCAGACAGCCACCCAACAAATGCCAACCAGGTTTGCATTAATGAAGCTACTGGAATCAGCTTTTTAATTTCCTGATTGCCTTTCATTTATGCCAGTGAAGTCACAGCCTCCTGTCTCCATTTTTCTTCAGTAAATAAGAATTTCAGATAAGGAAGAAAAGTAACTAATTCAACTGTTAATATCCCCAGATCTTGGATTCAAGTGTTTTCGGGATAACAGCGTCTTGCACTGTCACTGATATCACAAGGCAACCAAGTTTGTTGTTGAAAATTCTTAGGAACACAACAAAATCTATCCAATATACTATAATCCAAATCCCAGAAAACATACTCAGATTGATCCTAAAGCAAATATATGTTCAGAAACCAGACTTAATTTCAGAGCCACCTGTTCAAATTCATGGGTCTCTTCTGTTGTTATCTGTGTCAATCACTTGAAGAATATGTTGAAGTTTAACTATAGGAATGGACAAGCTTTCATTCTTTTTCCTACTACTGTGGGGCTCCTCCTCCATTTTTCTTTAATTGTGTCTTGTACCAGAAGAATAGTGATAGGGAGTTGATGGATGGCTTGATGGTTGAGTGAATAACCAACCATCTTCCTTGCCCCTAGAAACTTCTGTTCCCCTAGTTCCATTTACATACACTATTCTCAGGGTAAAAGGTGGCCCCTTAGTTTCTCTCCCCTCTAAGAGCCTAATATGGCCAACACAGGGCCCAGTGTCACACATGCCACCCCCTTCTCAATCCCCCTCCCCCAATATTCCTTCCTATAAGCCACTTGGCAGCATTCATGGCCTTTTGGAGATTGCAAACCACACCTAAGAACCAGAGTATCTCACACATGATCAGACCCTCACCCATGTGTTTGCTAATACAAAGAACCAACTTCTTTATGGATTGAATGAAAAGGACTCTTACTGGTTGTGCTTCCTAAGGAGAAGGCAGACTTAAAAACGAAAGAGGGTGATAACTGGAATGTATCTACAGTGATACATTAGACGCAATGATATTGATGAGAGTGAAGGACAGAAGGAAGAGAAGGATAGAGAAGCCAAATGAAGCTATGCCTGAAATTTTGCTGAGTTAAGTTTTGCCAACATAACTGAGAAAAACTGTTTCTTGCCATCAAACTAGTTAAGTGCCTCCACCTACCCTGCTGTCAGACTATCAGTGGTCTCTCGAGTCCTGGCCACCAGCTCAAAGCCAGCTGTTTTGTATTTTTCCCACTTAATACAATCCATAGGCAGGGCAAACAGGGAGGACCTTTGGCTCATGGAGTCCTTGCCAGGGAGTGCTGTGGGAAACACTGTGTACCTTTTGATGGCCTTTCTCGTGCTCCTGAGCTGTCACTCTCTCCTGCTGGAAATAAGGAAGTTATCTGAGGGCTCCGAGAATGGCAGAGAATGGAAAATTAAATCATGAGCCCTCTCTCAGAACTACCCAGGAGTCATTGTATCAGCAATATTAAGTTATCTGGGATACTCTGGTTATTTTGTAGTTGGTGAAAAAGGTCAATGACAAGGAACGGGAAAAACCCCTTTTCTCAAAAAGTTGTCCCCAAATGGCCATACGTGTCAACAGCTCAGAACTCGTGCAAGGAGCGTCCTTCAGTAGACACAGTCTTGGCCCACCTAGGCTATTTTGAGTGTGGGGTGGTCGGCCCCTACTTACTGACAGACGCCCCAGCTAATTTCTAGGTAAGGAGGGTTGCTATCCCCACCCCTCCTCTTACCCAGGACTATTCACTAGCTTCTATAGGTCCTTTGAGCAGATTAGAAAAAGGCACCCCATATGGGTGGACCCAGCCCCAGGTACACAGCTTGGCATGTGGCACCTGTTTTCCTCTGTGAGGATGTGGCCCTGCACCAGAGCACACAGTTAGGTGAGTGGAGCGAGGCATCCCCTTGCCTGGTGCTTTTGTGCAGTACACACACTGCACACCCATATCGCACAATCCTGCTCTTATCACAGGTTTTCTTATTTGGAAATGTTATCGTATGTGGAAATGTTTCCTTATTTGAGTCTGATGCCATCTTGATCAGTCATGCAACTCATGATGGACTGATGAATCGTAATTTGCTAAAGGACTTCTTCCTGCTTTGCAAAGGAAAGGTATTTAGGCAAACAGTATTCTTCTGGCCAAGTGTCCCCCAACCTGACCTGAATCTCAGAAGACATTGGGTCATTGGATCCGTGATGCTCTTCAACATGTTTGTGGATTTGCTTTCAGTTTCTCAATTGAAGGGATGCTAGCCTGAGTCCAAATCATAGCCTCCGAGGCATTCAGCCTCCATTCGCATTCCTAATGGGTTTTTCTCCTGGATGCTCTTTTTCTCTGTCTTTTGCCCCAAGACCTAATTTCTGAGAGGTCTTTCAGCCACTCCTGCCTGTGTTAGCATAAGAGAAGGTCTCATGGTGCTCCTGGGCCAAGTCAAAGCTGGAGGCAGGCAGTTATGCTTCTCTAAGACTTCTTGGCACATGTTTCCCTCCAGACCAGGGCAGCCATTGGGAGTTATGGCTGCCCTCTCACTGAGTGGCTAAAGGAAGCCCACCTGCTTCTAGTGCCCTCCCCCTCCACAGCCCATGAAATTTAGGAGGAGCTTGGCCACAGTCTGCCATGCCCAGAGATGCCCCAGCTCTCTCTGGGGTTCTCACTCATACCCTAGGCAAGGTGCAAAGAAGAGGAAAGCTCCAAACCTATCAGCTCCCAGCCATCATTGGGGAACTATAAATTTTAAATTGTATACCTAAAAAGCAGTCAGTGATCACAGACGTGTGATCCAACCTAACCAGTCTGTGAGTTCCCAATAAATTTCTCAAGTGTCTTAGGCAATATAAATGCAAGGTCATTACCAAAATTCTGGAGGGGCTGCCCAAAGTTTGTCCTTCTATCTCATTTCCCATAGTTGGGCCATTTTCTGCCCCCAGGCTTATTTTTGCAGAAGACGTTTAGTCTCCTTCAGGCACTTCTCATCAAAAGAGCATTCCAATCTTGGTAACTTATCCAGGCCCCCAAGGTTGTGATGTATGAGGCTGCGGGTCTTCCTGCAGTGGCCCCTTAGGTAGCCAACCTCGGAGAATCCACCTCCACAAACCCTGCATTTGAACCAACTCCT